CAACTGTAGATGTGATTTGACCAAACCTCCTTGTCACCAGGTTGGCAACCGAGCCCCAGGAGACTGGAAAGGGTCACGTAGTTGATAGTGCAACAAAAATGTGCGTCGCTAACTCCTAGCTTATAACAGGGACGACAACCTTGAATACCCATTCCGAATTGTCTCCTGGTAGCCCCATTTTCCCTTAAGTAAGTATTTTTTTCCATCTACTTCTCTTTCACGCGTGTTTGGCGCATGATTATGCACTCCAAATACTAACTTTGCCTACCTTCTCTAAATATGAATGACATCCAGATCTCGTCTTCAATTTATTTCACCCCTATCCAGCCAGAACACGTTCTAACGTTGGAACAGAAGGCAGAACTGCTGCCACCCCTACTACAGCAGTGCCGACAACCTCCACCGACATTTCCAGCTTCGGGAAGGTGTTGAGAGCTCAGTTGAAGGAAAAAACGACTGATGTGTCCGATTACACGTTGGACTACGGTTACGAAGGTGCCAGTGATGAGGAGGGCTTCACCGCTGAAGCCGCGTCCAGCCTAGTCCATCCTGAAACCTCATCTGGATTCAACGGTAGTGGAGAGCCATTCGGTGACACATTTGATGCGCTATACCAACTCTCGGATAGGGAGCATTTTTCCAGAGATAACTAGTGATAACTTTCCACTGTCACGTAGCCTACAATGTTTGTGTGAATACTTCACTACCTTTAATCAGTCTGAATAATTTTAGGGGTACAAATATTGGGAGGACTTTAATTTTGACGAAAACCGTAAGTCCAGGAAGGCCGTTAGCATGCCAATAAACTGGGATATCTTTTTCCCAATCTCCCTCTGAACTTCCAAGTGGAATTCCCCTACAAATCCTTTCCGTGTTACCATTTTTCAGTAGCCGTCAAATGAGAGTGGTTTATTTTACTTGATTGGGTGCATTGCTACTGATACATGGAGATGACGAAGTTTGGAAGAGGAAGAGTCGGAGGGCCTTGTCGACTGGATGCCGACACAGGTGCTCCTCTTAGTCATCCTTACACTTTAATTGCATTGTGTCCTCACGTGAGCTGCAGCTAACTGTGAGAAGAGGTCGAAGGTGAAATGATGAGGTGGGTCTAGTCCCCTGCAGGGCAAACACTGTCGAAGAAGACTTCATATGGAGAACTATTTTGAAGACTAGAAAACGTATTCTGTATGTTTGTTGCTTGCATTGTCAACATTGACCTAAAAGCAATTTTCCGTTTGGAGAAGCGTAGTAAAGCCTTCTTTGAGGTCAGGTGTGATTCATTCGGACTCGATCTCACTCCACTAGCAGTCATTGCGTAAAATTCGCAATTGGGGACTTGGCAATGTTACAACTCTCCTGTGGTGAGTCTCCACGGATTTATCCAGCCCATATTTGACATTGGGCTTACCTTAAACTCGACCAAAGCAAAAATGTGGAAGAGAGGTTCACTACTTTAGTTTAGATTTCGCGGACACCCGAGGCTCTGCTTTTGTACCTCCACCCCAAACCGTTTTGTGCGTCGATAGTACGCATTCTATCTTCTTTTGTCTTTCGGGAGTCCCGGGGATGCTGCATTGATGGCAGCGATCTGCGGAACTTAGGCTAGTAGTGATTCCTAAAAATCCCATTGGCTGGTCAACAACCAATCATCAGCCAGTTTGGAATTGACAGGAAACTTTATTTTGCTTACAATTTTAATTGGGTAGGGATGGCTAGCTGATGGCTAATTTAGGCATAAATCATTTATAGAAAAGCGAATCACGAGTCATCCCCCACGCAATCTAGCGGTGTTCCCATAGAGTGCATCCCAAAGCCTTCCCTGAAGACAAAAAAGAAGGCATAATGCTAGGAGGGATATGTAGTACCGATGTACAGCAGGGCTTGGGGGGCTACTGGGATGGTTCGGAGGTCAGACTGTCAGGGAAATGTGAAATGGCGGAACTCCCCAACGTGTTCATCTCCGGCGCTACCCTTGATCGACCTTCCACCTCAGCTATCACAACGTAATCGATGCCGTAAGGTAAACACCCTGGAGCCAACCGTACTAGTCACATCAAATTTCCATGCAATTGGGAGGGTGCCTGACCACAACGTCACTGATGCTTCTTGGCATTCTATCTGATCTGGAGTTTCGTCCTGTTGAATGGAAACTGTATTAGTGGAAGGAAGAATGTACTGGCTATCTCGTATGCCTATCACAAGGTGGAAGGAACGCTGATCTAAAAGCAGAGTCACATAATAAGGAATGTGGTTTAACAGTTTCGTGGGAATAAGGTTTTGTGTCTATTCCTCCTAGACCCTTTTTTCTCACTTCAGTTCTCCCCAGCCACATCTATCTAATTTTTAGCCAGGGAAGGTAGAAGTTGAGGAGGTCTTGCGTGTTCACCCAATTGACATTCTCATGCAGGTATGGTAGACAGCTTCGAAATTAGTTTTTCTAGGAGGTTCAAGGCTAGTGTCGCTTCAGTCGTCGATAGCTCCCTTGCAGACGACGGGGTTGGCGTAGTCACCGGAGGTAGACGTCACCCTCAGCCCTTTCGTTTGGGTGTTGCCGTCGGCTCCCCCATTGGCGGCTTAGCACTCGGTAATCGAAATTAGGATCGGGTTTGCTTTCCGCTACCACCATTGTAGTGCCTTGGGTGGAATATGCATTATCGACGTACGGAAGGTCTGGGGAGCTACTAACGTGGTCCGGTGGCTGGGCCGCATAGTTAAGCCTGTTACCAAAGCCAAGAGTTGAGCAAACAGTTAAAGGTTTGCAGTGCAACCAGAATTCCGTCTTACCCCAATTCAGTAATTTAAATTTCTTGCATCAGACAAAAGTCGAAAGCTTGCTTCAGTTTAATCGAGAACACACTAAGTCTATTGCGGCCAGTAGAAAATGGGGACCATCAATTTGTCTTAAAAGGGCTTCTTTTTTGTCAAATTTACGGAGGGATTTTTGAACAATAAATATCAGGAAGTATGCCAAGGCCAAACGATTAATAAGGGTAATTAATATTACCCTTCAAAGTTGATATTTGGCATAAATATCATGAAATGGGAATAGCCTTGATGCATTACTCAGGGCCTGACGTTACCCCTCTTGAAGAGAGCGATGCCTCCTCATGAGTGCCACCAATGGCGTAGGCGAATTAAATCATTATCTCCTCACAGCCAATGAGAACACGTGAAAAAGCTATCGATCGTACATGGGCGTGTGTAAATACGCGCGCCAAGAGGCAAAGCCCTCGCACAGCGTGCGCACGTACCACCGCGCGGCGGTGATTGGTTGCTATCACTCACGCGCACGCTATCGACTGAACGCAACGCCGTTTAACTACAGCGGCAGTAGGCACACACAGGCCTTGCCTGACAGACTTTATTCCGTGCTGGTAGCAGAGGCAGCTGCAATCGCACAGATGGGCGATCGTTTTTACGGCAGAAGGTTGTCCACCCTGTCTAGTGAGTTCAATGAACGAGCCGCGCCCAGGACCACAGACGGGAGGAAATATCATCACGCTGTGAAGCCAGCACCGCTTTACGCCCAAGTGAGTGCCTCTGCCTCATTATTGATACAATTTGGATTTGGTTGTTGGTAAGATGGTAATACAGAGGTCTGTTAAAGGTTCTCTTGAACTACTAACAGGTAAGACCTTATTAACAGCAATAAACTAGATCCATGCAGCCAACAGTGACGAGGTTGTAAGTTATTTTGAATAGAATAATAATATGTTTCATATCGTCCTTATTCTTTCCTCACTTGAATGCTTTAGATTGAAGTTATCCTAGACGTTTTTCGGGAATTTAGTGCAGTTGTCAGAAGCGCTCGACCTTAGTGGTCTGCCGCGATTATGATACATAAATCACGTATCTCTTATCCACCTGAGGTTTACCCCAATCGCTAAGATCGTCACTAACCTCCCCTATGCATAAACTTGTGAGAATAGCGAAAATTAGCAAGGGTTTAAGACAGTTTTATCACAACAGCGTAATAACAGTCATTTAAGCGTCATTATACCGGCGGTCTTCTTCCTTAATAGTGCCGATTTAATCTCAAAACTAGTTTATATGTGCTGTCACCATATACGGGTGAAAGCCCTATTTTCTTATCCCAGCTCGTTTTCACAAGTATGCAACATGCGTTGTTTATCAGACCCTGAAAACTGATTACACCTAATCATGTGGTAAATAGATTGGCTAAGCTTACGGCAGTAAAGTAAATGTAGGATGGTCTTGGTCTGAGGTCAATTACACTTTTTTCTACAAATATTAATGACAACTGGCGTCATAGTACACCAGCAAAACACCTGGGATCTGTTGGTTTATTTTCCTATGGCTTGGATAGAGAACAGGCTAAATCTGAATTGCTTGGAACCCCAGTTATTGGAGGTTGGATAACTCAATGAGGTTTTCATCTATTACCTTTTGTTGCTAGGGTATAGAAGCGAAAATAAAAGTTGGAAGATAATATTTGATCTGGTGAGCCATTATAAGGTAGGTATTGCACGTCATGGACAGTAAGGTCAGGATATTTAACCCTTTGGTGCTTCAAATAATGTATCTATTACCAAACCTTAAAAATATTCCTTTTTCATGATTTTCCACCCTGAACCCTAAAAATATGGCATCTGTGGAGGTTCTTTGAAAATAAAACCTGCTTACTACACACAATGTAATGTGTAAAACAAGATGCAATTGGAATTGTAATTTTCCCGCTCACAACAAAACGCTGAACGAGAACCCAGCAAATAAAAGGTACTCTCAGGTGGTTGTTTACATACTGTTAATTAAGACGACATTCTCAATGCACTGAGGTCGAAGTGAAAGCATCGGTAGTCATGACGTCCATTTTGCATGAAGATTATGTTTGTAAACTGAAAAGTAGTTTACTTTGGGTATCTTCGATTATGCGCTCGGGATATTTACAAATTCAGTTGACACGCGCTATCATTGCTAATCCACTACCCCTGCGTGCTACTGCTCTGTCGCCCAGTTGTCGGAGCTGTACCCAATGCGCGCGCATTCGGGGAGTCCTGGTGACTTTCGTTATCACCCCACAGCTGACATCAAAATGCCAGGCTCTGGTCTGACTGCTCACAGTCAAGGACGAATTGGTGGTGGTGTTAGTGGAGGTGGAGTATCCATTCCAGTCCTCCACCTCGACTCACCGGACTACTACACTGGACGCAGTGGGGTCTACACGGGCCGTTTGTCGGGCAACAGTGGGGGGAGTTATCGAACGGGCGGTGTACTGCGAAAATCCAGTCCAACCATCACCAGCCCCACTTCATTTCCCACGGATCCTGAAGCGGAAGTTGACGCTCTCACGGATGCTCTCATGCAGAAGATGGAAACACCCAGGTCTGGCGCCATCATGTCTCCACATGAGTCTGCAGCTGATGGTACTTCTTCACCGGGTATGCACATTAATTTATATTTGTAAAAGCGTGTTTCGCCTCGCAAAACTAGGGATTTGGTTAGCGTCTGATGCTTTTCAGGCTCTTCTATCCTGTCATAGAGCTGTAGAACCGGCTTTTTTTCTCAACCAGTTCTACTTGGCATATTGGACTTTGAAAACGACGTATTTCTTCACTGTTGAGTGGTTGAGTATGTTTGCCTGTTTCGTGGGTTAGAATAAACTGGGTCTGCGAGGCTGATTTCCTACAGTGAATACGTTTCACGAGAAGGTACGATTTTAAAAAAAAAACATCTGTCAAAGTGCGCAATGTAAAGTGGGACCGTTTTCTATTTTTGTTTCCCCTTTAAATTGCTTTGCTGTTTATTCGTCTATGTGAGGTATTTTTACAAGATGCTATCTAGTCGATCAATTCAAGAGAAGTGTGGGGTGATTTTATTTTTTGTTTCACTTCAGCTGGAAGCATTCGACGCGGGAGCGGTGGAGCCACCTTGCTACCGTCTCGTGTGACTCGACTTCAACAGCAGGCACAGCAACGCGTCGGTTCACCGATTACCGTCAGCAATAACAACAGTGGGAGTCCACTCACCGTGGGTAGTCCACGAACCTCCTCCCCAACAAACTCATCAGCTTCCAGCGGGGCGACCGACTCCTATCTGCAGAACAACTGCTTCCGCTGTCGAAGACCTCTGATACCTCCGGAATCTGCCACCCTGGGACCGGGCACCCCTACTCCGCCCGTAGTCACCCTGACGGGCGCACTAGCAGTGCGTCTCCACGAGGCGTGCTTCACGTGCTACATCTGTCGGACGAAGCTGAATCCTCAGGGCTACTATCACAGTCTGCATCGACTCCTCTGTCCAACCTGTGTCCGTGACGGTGCGGTGGAGTCGTGCAAGAATTGCCGACGGCCGATTGGTGTGTTGTTTTAGTAATGAGAGTTATTCTCTGAAAACTGTCCCGTGTGGTCCCCTGGCCAAAATTCCAGACTATTCTCAACTTGAATAATCGTACATGGAAGGGAGGCATTTCATAACATACCCTAACGTCGAATCTTCCCAAATTTTTCGATCACATTGAAATAATCGACTAGACATTGTGAAGAACGAAGAGTAAATCGAGAATTTTGAGATTGATTTCACTAACCTCTCGATGGTGAGAGGATTTAATTTTTTCCATCTTTATTCAGGAGAGAGGATTGTTCGAGCACTGGGTGCACCCTACCACCCGGCCTGCTTTGTCTGCTCAGTGTGTCACACCCACTTGGACTCCAAGCCCTTTACTGTGGACGTGCACGGCCGTCCGCTGTGCCTGGACGACTTCCACAAACGCTTCGCACCGCGCTGTACCGCCTGCAATCGACCGATCGTGCCAGAGGCGGGTTCGCATGAGGCACGGCGGGTGGTGGTGGGCGACTCGAACTACCACCTCCTCTGTTGTGGTGTTAAGACAGCCGACTCCAGTGCCTCCACACCCACGCCTTCTATGGCTACTGCTTGAGATGAAAAAGAAAAACTAACGCCAAAGTCTTCAATTGGGCCTTGACATCTTCTCCCCCCTCCCCCCAACCTCCTCCTCCTCCTCTCCGGTCGCTCACTCACTCACTCACCCACTGACAATTTACTGAGAGAAATAAAGCACAAGCATCCTCTACGAATGCGGGCACGCGCGCAATCGTAGCACTGATACTTTTTGTGGTGGTGCTTGACCTTGGGACCCCTATTTTAGCTTACACCTGTACATGGTAAGGATGCAGAGAAACAAGATCACCTTAACTTTTATTTCATAGGCCACCTCTGGTAGTTTTTTTCCCCATCCAGGTGGATCGACTTCTTTTAGCAAGAAAAAGCGGTGTGCAACGTGTCACACATTTGTGACGCTGGAAGAAGGATGGAAGGCGTCCTTGTCTCAGTGTTCTAAGGGTGGGATTTCGAACATCAAGATGTCTTAGGGCCCTCACAGGTGTAAAAATCTGTTTTACCTAGTTGACTGCTAACAAGGTGCGTGCTTTGCACCTTCGGGGAAACAGTCAGGAGGATGGCGCAACCGCGGACTTCACCCGGGAGCCGTCATAGAGCACGCAAGTGGTGAAGGTGGCAGCCTCTGCTCCGGAAATTAAAAGCGCTCGACTTAAGCGAACCTAGCTGCGCGACAGGGTCACTAAGTACTCGAGAAGTGGTCAATTATAAGAGCTTTGAAGTGGCATTCCTGGAACACCGACACAGAAGAGAGTAATTCACGTAAGCACAATTCGAAGAAGGACTCGGGAGCACCAAAGCAAGAAAAAGCCACAACCCAATGCAGAACGCAATGATTCCCCCCTACCCCAAAAAATAATCGGAAATCTGGGTAATAAAACATCATATCATCGAAGTATCCACCTTTTGTGATAAATGTATGCATATGGAGCGACGATACGGTAGTCGAGGGAAAAAGCGCGCATAAGCAGAGAGGAACCAGAAGGAGAGGATCAGTTGATAAGGTAGAAGTGTTTATGCGGTAAGAAGAGAGCTAGAGAGAGAGACAGAGGGATACAGAAATGCAGCACATGGCAGAGCCTTGGACACATGCACACATGCACTAACCCCCTGTCTTTCCCGCTCCCATCACCTCCTCTCCCATTACCCCACCACCGCCGTTTGCCGCGTCACTTTCAGTCTCGACCACCGCACCAGGACTGATCTGAGGCAGGCTCTCCGGTTCTACTGAAATCGCACCGACGATGTCACGCGAAGGCGGACTAATCGGTGGGGGCTGTTGTGGTGGTGGTGCTCGCTGAGACGGCTGTGGCGGTGACTGTGGTTGGGGTGGTGGACCGTTCGCTGCCCCTGCCATCGCCAACTGGGTCCTCAGTTTGGACAAGAACTCTGGAGGAGAGAGACTGTTTGAAGCCACCTCTAGATCCACCTCAGCATTGGTATCGAATCTCGGAGGTGGCGGTAGCGGTGGTTGAATTGCACTTTTATCCTCCCGTGTACTCATGAGAACATTGAGCACAGCACTGGTGCTTTCAGAGCGCAGCCGATGCTGCTGCTGCTGCTGCTGCTGGTGATGATGTTCAGAAAATGCGACAGAATTGGCCGCGGAGGAGGTGGGGAAGGGTGGCCAGCCGCTCCCTCCACCGAAATTAAAATCGTTGTCAGCAGAACGAGGTGGGAAAAGACTACTTCCGCTCCCACCACCTGCACTGGTGGTATTGAGGAAACTTGTGGAAGTACGTGGATGACCTCCACCCCTTCCGTCAGGTCCTGAGGAGGCGTCTGATGCAAGGATGATATTGAAAGGACTGTTTGGATTCATCATATCCAACCGCATATGTAGATCCACTATTTGGTACTCCTTCCGCGTTAATGTGGCTGTAAAAGAAAAAAAGCCAGACTTCTCACAGACAAGATTCCTCAAGAAGTAACATAGTACGGGGAAGGGGGTATCGTTTATCACCCCACAATCGAAGGGAAAGCAAATTTGCCTCGGATTCCACTTTTGCCTCTAGAAACAACCCAGTTTTAGTTATTTCCAAATCTTTTTAAGCAAGTTTATTTTGGCATGACATTCCAGATTGGCTAATTCATATTCTTCCCCAAAAAGTCGCCTCGCGCGCATTTCATTCACAGTCGGCAATGAATAATTCCATCTGCTGTCCAATACACAAAACAGACACAGTCCTCTGGGGAGGAAGTAGTAGGCGACTCCGGCATTTGAGATGAGGTGGTAAGCGAATCTTTTGGAAATATCCAACAATGAGCGGCCCATTCTGCTACCGCACCTCCTGCAAAAAGTTTCCATGGTCTTGGAGCCGACTTAAACGCAGTTCGTAAAGTAGTCAAGCCTGAACCGCAGGCGTTGAGTCTAACAGACCCTTTATGAAACGAGTGTTTAAAATAATAGAAAAGGAGTAAAAAGCATTCTATCCGCACTGTGATCAATGTCGTGCATTTTACAAGGTACACTTCACACTTGACTAGACCAAAAATCCCACACTTTGTCCAACAGGATGTGTCCCAAGCATAACCCATAAATAAAAGCAGTCTGTCCGGGATTGTACTTCTGTTCCGGTCATGCCTACAGCCCCTCAGCCTCTCAATAACATCAGTAGCATCTGTACTGCTGCAGTGGTTGGGGCTATTAAAACTTTAGAAAGGACGTTTCGGGACGCTACGTTGGTGGCTGCGACAACCGAACCCAAAAGGACAACAGTTCTGACTTTTGTGCCCGATTAGCCAAAAAGGGCATCTTCTAGGGATGGTTGAATCTGCAAATACTTCCACCTGAAGGGCTAAATGACGTTCACTTTGGGTGTTTAACCCAATTTCGTGCTCCGCAGGAAGTCCATTGACAACTGGACCAATATCAGAAGTCGATTACAGAGTTGCCTACAAAACTTACATAAAGATAGAGGGATGAACAGAACCAAAATAAGCAACCGAAAAGGCGGAATCAATACGGAATAATAGTTCCGCGAAACAACTCCATTTAAAGGTTCAGCATATACGATCCAGCTCCCACGAATAGTGATTAGGATGGGAAATACACGCGTTCCGGAGCACCGTCAAGCCTTGAGCCGTACGTAGCCAGTGCATCCCCCCCGCCCCTACTTTAATGCAATTCACTAGAGGAATAGAAACGCAAGTTTTACAGAATTGACGAGATCAATCGTTGACACTAGGATCCAATGCCCTCTCACCATTTGACGGCCATTCCCAGTTCATGGGTGTTTTTGAAAGGAATGACTACGCTGCGATGGTCAAGTAGTGCCTTGGTACGTCGTCCTATTACGTCAGCCCTTCCAACTTCGGGGTTGTACTTCCTTTTGGGTTGTGTAGCCCTCCGGCCATGTCTGTCGTCTCCCAGCTCTTCCATACACCAAGAATAAGTGCCCTTCCATGTCGTTGCGCTCAAAGCAATAAAGGGTTTGGCAACGACTACTCCACTTTCTTCCAAGGCGACGATTTTGCGCAGTACAAAAACAATTAGAACGCTAGCAGAACAGACGCGACGGTTGTGACATTAGGTATGAGAAGCTACCAACTCACTCGAATAAGATGAATGGCCAGGTAAAGTCAAATAATTTCGTAATAAAACTTACAATTGAGTTCGGTGATCTCCTTCAAAGAGTTGTGATAGCCGGCAAGTAGTTCCTGTTTCATCTTTTCCTCCGATTTAATAGCCGCTTTAAGTCGCGCATTCTCCGCCTCTAGATCGCCAAGATGGATCATGAGATCAGCAATACGGTGACTCTGTTCACAGCTCTGATGTTGTTGCTGCTGTTGTTGGGACTGTTTCAGGAGGTTGGACTGTGACGCAGCGATCAGCTGTGCCTCCTTCATGGACAGTTCACGGGTGAGGGACTTCAACCGAGTCTCCAGCTCGTGCATTCGATGAGTGCAGGTGTCGGAGGTGCAACGATTGGGGTTCATGGCCCCGGTTCCGCCGCCACCGCCACCACCCAGTGATCGA